AGATTGAATTTGGTGTACTATTTGGGGTGGTAAATGTTTGTTTTCTGTTTTGCAGTCTTTTTCTGTGCCAGGAATACACTAATTGATAAGAGCATAAACAGATCTCTCTATCTGCTGCCAAAGAGAAAAGTTGCTCTTGAAACATGATACCTTAGTGGTAAAGGCAGGTTCTTTGCACCCAGACCAAATGCCCTCTGTGTTAATCTAGCCTTCTTTCTTCAAGAGAACTTTGCTACACACCTGCTTCATTAGCATAACCAGATGACTTTGTCCTTGGGCTTGCTTAAGAGTGCTAGAAGTAGGTCTTATTTCTCTACTATTTTGCAGCTAAAGTTTTTCCTGAACATATGCTATATCTTTTTAAGTCAGACAAGAACTGAGAGGGTATCATTATTAATAATGAAAAGCTTAAATACCAGTTGACATTTTTGTGACAGTTTTGTTCTACACAAAGCATTTCCCTAGGCATCCTTCATTTGAGAGCATACAGGAGGGCAAAGGAGTGCAGTAGAAAGACAAGTGGGTGTGGAAACAGAAGCCCAAATTTTGGAAGTTTAGGTCCACCTATTTACTATTTCCTGATTGGATGGTGGGGGTGGGGTGTTATGTCTAGCCCATGGTGTCCTCGTGCAATATGGGAAAGGGTGCCCACATGAGGCAAGTAGACAGCTTGGCAAGCAAATAGCAGCACTGAACAAATTTGAAGAGTGCCCATTTGTTCTTGGGCCAGTGCCAAAGCAATGGAGTGGTAAGTCAGAGAGGCAGGATGTCAGACTCCACTTGCTCTCCTTACACAACTTAACATGGTCTCTGTGGCTGTGACTGAACACTGGGCAAACAGTGTTCAAACATCAGGGAAGGAGGTACGAATTTAACATAGAATAGCTCCTCTGCTGCCCATTAATTCATTCTGAGGCGTCCTCCCTGCACACACTTAAACTAAGTTGTAGAGAGAGTGAGCACTTGGTTAGGGTCACTTAACTAATAAGTGGTAGAGACAGAATGGGAATTCTGATCTATGTAACTTCCACAGATCATGGTCCCAATCACATTACTAAGATGAGCAAATTCTCTTCTTCCTGGCTTTTCCTGAAGTTGTTTTATAATTAAATTTAAGTACATGGAAAGGCTTTGTACATTTTAAAACATCATTGAACATATCCAAACTTTACAATTTTGTTGTTTAGTAAAAATCAGTGATCAAAATAATGGCTAAGATGATTTTTATTTTTTATTATTTTGGTAATTGGCATTGAACCCAGGACTACTTCACCAGAGCTACACCCAGTCCTTTTTATTTTTTATTTTGAGACAGAGTCTTCATAAGTTTCTAAGGGTCTTGCTAAATTGCTGAAGTGCATTGATCTTGTGATTCTCCTGCCTCACCCTCCTGAGTCACTGGGATTACAGGTGTGGTCTACTGTGCTCAGCCTAAGATAATTTTTAAAGACTTGGGTATTAAAATTTTCAGACCAGAGAGTACAATGGGACTGGTAATTAGCATGTAGACTGGTTATTAAGTAGCATACAGAATTCATTTATGCAAACGGAAGTTTAAAAAGGAAACATTTATAATAAGATACACATTATCACGGATCATATATATATATATGGCAGATGAAGCCTAATTGTTATGAACTATGGAAATTAATAAGTTAAATAAAATAATCATAGGCCAATTTACTTCTCTTTTCCTTAAGGAAATCTTGAGGGATCTGGTCACTGGTTTATTTCATGCATGGCTTTTCTCTTGTTAACAGTAATCCAGGAGCAAAAAGGAGAGAGGCCCAGAGTGGAGAGATAAGAACACAAAACACACAACCTTCTCTGTGGCACTTATGCTTCTGCCCCACTAGAGGTTTGACTAGCTGGATGATCTAGGAAAATAACAGGTTAACTTCTTTTAAACACATAGATTGATTTCTATTTTTGCTTGGTTTTAGAGGGGGGGATGTTCTGATAAGAATGACATATTTGTGGGGATAGGAGTGTGGAACTTAAGACTTGAATTTGGTACAAAATCAAACAAAGCTTCTGTTATAAAATGTGTTATTATTCCTTCATTATTATTATTTTTAAATTTAATACAGGTAAAAACCACTGTGCCTTGAAAATTTAGTTCTCATTTTTGCTCTCATAGTCTGTAGGGGGCTTGATTCTTTAAACCTGGAAGTATTTATAATTCCTTTTAATTATCTAAAATAGAATCAAATTATATCTGGTCTTTAAAAATGTAGCAAAGAAACTCAATCTGCCATTTCCAGGATAACACACAGAATCCAGGGCGGAGAATTATATCACTGTTTCTTTAACCATTGGCATAGCTGTGTTTGGGACACCATTTGTCTAAGCAAAGACAGAACTTATTCCTATTTGAAAACTGACTTATTAAAAACAAAACACATTATGTGATGTGTGAAATAATAAAAGCACACTCCCCAAAAGAAACCTGAAAATTTGAAAAAAAAAATTGACTTTTGCCTGATAGGTCATACTATATATAACATATGCTCAAAAATGAAGAATGTATTATTAGAGTATTCAGTATTCTTGCTAAAAATGCACTGTCCAGTGAGGTTGCCACTGGCCATGTGGCTATCTTAAATGCATCAAAAACAAAAAATTACCTTCCTCAGTTGCATGATTTACATTTTAAGTGCTCAAGAACCATGTATGACTAGAGATTTCTTATTTAGACAGCAGAGGTGTAGTACATTTCCATCATCATTAAGTTCTATTGGGTAGCTCTGTCTTAGAATAGTCAGTGTTCTTTGAAAATAGTATCAGCTTTTCATTTTTTTTTCAAATTCAAGTGTTCTGCTATTTTTTTTTTCTCCAGGAGATTAATATTAATGAAGACTGGGGTAGAGGAAACAGACTAGAGAGACCTTTCCTCCAGATGGCTTATACTGTATATCTTTCTGTCTATTACCTCTGTGCCTGACTCTGGTGACAAGAGGAGGAAGGTGTGTATCTTGCCTTCAAGGAACTTACAGTATCAAGTAGCTATCCATTAAAAAAAAAGTTGTTTTTTTTTTGTAGTAGACATTACATTTTCAAAACCACTTTAGTATTTAAGAAATACTGGATCTTTAAAAACATTTTTCATACTTTGTTTTCTTTAAAAGGATGACTATCATCTATAGAAAATCCATTCCTCTTAATCTCTCCATTTTTTAACCTGAATCATCAGGTTAAAAATTCTTTCAGCCTTCCACAAATGCTAATTTATTCTAAGCATTTATTCTTTTAAAAACTTTTGACTGTGTTTCTCTTCATGTCATGTAAGAGAATGACTATCTGTCATGCTTTAGAACAAGTTCAGGTAATACTAATTAGAAATTTTAATCCCCACTGAATGTTCCCATCCTTAAGAAATTACTTGAATTTGTAGATAGCATGTAATATAAATATTAGTATATGTTTATTCCTTAAATAGCATATATGCATTAAATGTACCTGATCCTAATCTAGACCCAATCTAATCTGGACCAAACTTGGAAGTCTGTAGCAATTTTCCACTGTGGGTTTGTTTTCTTCTTCACAGGGTACACATTTCTAAAATAAGTGGAATACAGTTAAAAATCTTGGAAATATAGAACTAGATTTCATCCCCAGTGCTGCTATTTAGTAAGTTAATCTTAGATAATTACTTGACTTCTCTGAATTTTAGTTCCTTTCCCTGAAAAGTAGAAGTAAAACGACCGAGTTTATAATGCTATATTTTCTTTTTAAACTTTTCATATATAAAGGCAGTTACCAGTGCCTCATGATTGCTGGATTTCTCCAATTATTAGTTTCTATCTACCTGGCTATAAAGCATCTTTAACATTCATGGTTGGTAGTGACCATATCTTATACAAAACTTTTGGCATGACATTTTTTTTCCCTTGTAGAATGAATATAATGGTGACAGTAACTGAAATTTATCAAGGGCTCACTGTGTGAAAAGGACTATTTCTGAAATAAGAGCATTTCACATAAATATTTATTATTTTTAATAGTAATTCTATAAAGCAAGGAGGGTTTCCTCTGTTTTACCCAAGAAAAAGGCACACAGGGATTAAGTGACTTGTCCAAGCCATCCTTCAAATACTAAGTTTGTCTAGCTCCTTTGTCTACACCCTGAACCTGCAAGAAACCCTGTTAGATACATTCTAAAACTCAATGAATTAATAAATATGAATTTTATAGGATGTGAATTACATCTCCACTAAAGCTATAATTTAAAAACAATGGCTGAATTTGCAGTGATTAGGAAGTAAATACAAAGTAAAAAGATTAGCTCTGACATTTTTGTCTATAGCATCAGATTTCATGAGCTTGGTTTCCCCTCCCTCTCACATTATTTAAGGAAATCTCTGTCAAATAACTACTCTCAAAACCAGTCTACTATCAATGTCTACTAAGAAAAACTGCTATGATTCTAAGCATCAGACATCCTAAAATAAGATTTGTTTTGCCGTTCTTACTAGGTCAAAGAATAAGACACCAAAACACCACAGACTCCAATAATTATCTTGAAACTTATTTTTTAAACTTGTTATGGCCCAAGCAATATTAAAAATTCAGGAAGAATACTGAAGTACACTGGGAGAAAACTGAATGAACTGAAAGAGTCTGGAAATGATAATTCCAAAAATAAAATGTGAACTTATTTTCCTGAAAATGCTCCACATGCTTCACATGCCTTTCATTATTATTTCATCTCACCTTATCCTTTCTTGGGATTTGGAAAGTTTGATACATTTGATTAAAAACTAAAAGAATCACCAGAATATTGCACATCTGTAGTGTGTGTGTCGGGGGGAGGGGGAGGAGGACAATTGTTAAATTAAATGGAACTTTATGCCATAGATACTGAAAATCGCAAATGCTGAGGAACTTGGATCCCAGCTTAAAATACAACAAAGAGAAGCTCAGGTACTGTTTCATGCAATCCAGTAATTCCCTGTTTCTGCCTGCAAATAGTGACAGAAAAAAGGAGTCATCATTATTACCTTCATCCATGCCATTAAGTAATTCGGTTAAATCTTCATTTTTACTGTCAAATTGATGTTCCTTCCATGTTTCACCATTTTCACTTCGAAGAACAATGAGTTCTCTCTCTTTTCCCCTCATGGACCCAAAGTGAGGAATTTCCACTATGACAGGGCTGGAAAAAAAATCCACATTATTTTGGTATCAAATTAGATATATTTATAGTATCATACTCAAAAATGTTTCATCAACAATGTTTGACTGAAAATCAGAGGTGCCACTCAGGTTGGGAATGAGTTCAAAGCTGCAGAATCATTTGCTTGTTCAATAATAATATATTAGAAGCCTGATAACATGCCATCATTCATTCACTCACAAACAATTCTTGAAGGCCTACCATATGTTAGGCATTAAACTTAATAGGGGAAAATATTCAGCACCATATACATAGGAAATTTGAATCAAGGAATTTAAAGATTAAAATAGGCCATAAGAAAGAAAGTTGTTCCATTTTTTTTAAACACAAGAAGGTATATTATACAAAATGCTAGCGATTTAAAAGGACACAGTCATTTCTTTAAAAAAGAAGTTCTATCAATTTCCTAATTTGAGAGATCACCACTACATTTTTCCCTTAGCAATAAAGCAATTCATAGAGCAATCTACTTGCTCCAGCAGTCAGTTTCCAAGACCCTCATGGCCTGTGTAGTTTCTCATATTTTGAATTTGTGAATAGGGAGTGGGCAGCTTCATTTCCTGGCTCTAACATAAACTGTATAGGAATACTGCAAACATCCTGGAAAAGCACTTGTTGGTTTGAAATTGTCACATAAAGATTTAATAATTTTTGACAGTGTCCTTTTGCAAAGAAATGTAAAAAGAATGGCTGCAAATTGAAGATAGCCAATCAAGCCATGGGAAGTAATTTTGTTAAATTTTAAAATGGGATAAATACTAAAAAAGATGGATGGAAATAAGCAGACCACAATCACACACAGTTTATGTAGTTGGATTGTGCAGCTTTATTTTATGACATTTAAGTAGACAGTATCATTATTCTCCTACAGAGGTTGTATGTAACCTCATCTCTTAACCTATGTGTTCATGTACATGTAATAATAGGAGATATGGGTTTAAATAAGGAGAGAATAAAAAGGGATAGTAGTTGAAAAGATCAAATAATGAAAATATGAAGAATATTTGATTTGTTTTTATAGAAATATTCATTTAAAATGGGGATAATTATAATTTTACTTTTAGCAAAATAGTCATAATTCAGATTAAGATTTTAAATATAATTTATTAATAGTAGCCTCTATTCTTTAATAGGCAGAAACAAAAACAACTATTCCTAACAGTGCTAATAATTTCAAGAACTATTAAGATATTTACCACAATTTTTAACATCATACTATTGCACATTAAATTTTATTTGTTTATTCTTTTGAGAACAAGATACAATCTTTGCAGGTTAATGTGTCAGATACTGTCTCTGTCAATATTGAAGGAATGTGGCTTTGCGTTTGACATTCAACAGTACTGGAGAGAAGGTATGAACAGGGCCTTTGACCAAGGTGAAAGCCAAGCATAACTTTTCATAACAGGTCTCTTCATGCAGACTGCCAAGGCAAATACAACAACCAGACAAGCGAACAAACAACAAACATCAACACATTTCAGCTTAAACAAGACAAAACAAAACAATTCAACAGAATATTGTTTGCTACCTAATTCAATGTCTTTAAATATCATGTATTCCCAATACTTCTCAAAATCATTTTACTTATTGATGAGTTTTTCTTTTCTAAGCCCATAAAGATTACAGAGTACTCGTAAGTACTTTAAAAAAAAAGAAATAAAGATCTAATTATACACATAGAGACAAATATACACACATACATGTATATCATTGATAGCAAATGTTGATTCAAAGCCTGCAAATACCTTCTCTTACACTGGGCTAAACTTGAAGACTGTGAGTCTAGCTTTAAAAGTATATTCAGAAGAAACATTTCAAATTAAAGAAAGGTTTATAGAAGCACAAGGTTATGAAAGCAGAATGCTTGCAGTGAATTCCACATGCTTGAAAAGCACAAGATAGGTAGCGGTGCTACATTAAGTCAAGCCACTATGATTTTTTTTCTTTCAGTGACACACATCAACTGAAAGCATTAAAAAACTTAAAAAATAAAAATAAACTTAAGACAAGAATAAGACCATGAGTGTGACAGAAAAAAATTGAAAATGGAAAAAAAAATTGTAGACATTCTGTATCTTGTCTATAAAGATCCTACCCAATAAATTTTGTTCCTTGAGGCCCAAGCTGCAGGATTCGGCTAACCAAGCTCTCACCCTCATTTACAGGGGGAGGATTGGTAGGAAGATGCAGTTTACTGAATAACATCCATGCAGCAGGAAGAGAAACGAGAAGGGGAAATTATGAACAAACTGTCAGTCACGACAGAGCCTGCCTGATTTGCACCCAAGTGCCACCTCAGAGAACGAATTCAATTTATTTTTCTTTTTTATAAAGTACCATATCACAATGGACTGTGTCCCTAAAAATTATCTTTAAAAGGACATCCCCAGAGTATACACTTATTTAATGAAGTGATACAATTCCAGCATCTGCATGTTTTTCTAGGAATCGTGCCTTGACTTGCACGGGGGCCGATGGGGTTCCGTGCACTCACTGAGCAGAGAACATGCTTCTCGGTTAGTAAAAGCCTTGACCAGCAAACTGAGTTAAGAAAGTACCAGCCTAATAGCCTCTCACAGAATCACACAGCTTTGTGACCTTTGACACTACACAAAAAGTATCCTCAATCAGGTTCAACTAAGTCATTTTAATAGTTAACTCCTTAAGTTAACAAGGGTAAAGAAAATAAAAAATGTGGTAAGAGGGCTAAGATTAAAATTAGCAAAACTTACCCTAAAAATTGTGCCCCTGCAGGACCCATTTCTACCAGCCTACTGGCTAATCCCTCTCCTTCCACCATGGGGGGTGGGTTGGCCAGTTTATGTCTCTTTACCAAACGGCAGGTGATTCGGGTGGGGGCTGTACACTTGCGTGGAGGAATGATGATTCTCATCCCGTGGTGCCGACTTCCTCTCATGGAGCCACCTCTTGCATCCACCATAAAGCTAACCAGAAACCTGTAGGGAGAAGACCAGAGGACAGACTTGAATCATTTCCAGAGTGGGTTTTCAAATTAAAGGTTACAGTTTAAAGTGACAGACAATGTAGCTATTGATTTCTCTCAAGATAAATTGGAAGCAAATACAGTGGAGTTCACATCAAACATGCATTAAACTTGTGCACTGGGCAAAAAGCTGAAATACAACTTACATTTGGTGGAACATGGCCTCCCAGAAGCTAATCACTTTCTGAGATGCTCTCATTGAGGGAACAGAGAATCTCTCAAAGTTGGGATAAAAACTAGCTATTAAAAATGCAGCCATGATTTAAAAAAAAACAAAAAACAAAAACAAACAACAAAAAAAACCCAACACTGTCCGTGGTCTTTTAACATACATTCAAGGTTATTTTAACTATAAGTGGTTTCTGCCATATTTTAACTATGTAATCTCTCTCCCCACTACAAGTAAGATGAAACTCCACAGTATGTCTAACATGTACAACTCATAAAGTAAAGGAATATTTAACCATACCAACACTCTAGTTTTTACTAAGATGAAACAGAATATAAAAATAAAAGCAGATGACTAGATTTGCTAAGACAATTTTGATGGAAAAGGATTAAATATTTCCAGTATAAAAATGGAATTATAAAATAATCTATGTAAAATAATCTATATTTAGACATTGTATGCAGTAATACAAAAAGTAGAATATAGTCTTTTAAGAAAGTGCCTCTAAATTATATAATTCTGTTATTTGGTCTTTAAAGTTAGTAAGGAAAATATTTAATAACATGTAAGTATGGCAATATAAAGAAACTGTGTCAAATATGAATAAGAGCATATTGGAATCCTTGCTTCCTATCATGTATGAGCCCATCTATTGTTGTTCCAGAGTTTTACTCTGATGAACATAATTCAGTGAGTCCATCATATGGAACAGTGCATATCAGACAGGGGAACACAAACATATACTTCTTGCATTCTAACTTTCACATGGGAAATATACTTATTACTAGAACAGCACCAAATATTATCATGAGAAAGCTGTCTGAATTCTTACAGTATTTTTGGAGAAAAAAATAATCCCATCCATCAAAATTCTTTATGATACTTTCATCTAAACACAGTGCTAACATCCTGCAAATAGAGCTTAACCCCTTATGGACTCTTTTCTGAAGAATGCTGGCTCTTGACCTTGGAAAGAATGACCTACCTCTTCAACAAAACAAATTAGCCTATAATCCCCATAGGGAGACGAGCAACAGGATGGGGATAATTTTTCAACCAAGCAGATTTCCAGAACCACCTCTGCTCATCTTAAGGTGGATGTACCTTCACACCCTTTTTGTTTATTTATGGATTTAATTATTTCACTCTGAATTAACTGTATGTTTGATAACAGTCTGTCCATTTTCAGAGACTGGGACCACTGATATTCAAGGTAAGAGGGGAAAAGACTCCTCTCCATTCAAAAGAAAAGATATTTGTTCACTTGTTCAAGTGCCTACAAGAATTATTTCCAATGCTAAATGATATGAGGTTCACTGGAAATTGCTCCAGGGTGCTTTCTTTTTCCTAGACACACACAATAATATGTATGTATATGTATAATAAATATATGAAACTATTTTTTATTCAATAATTAATGTAATATGACAACAGTATAAAGAAGCCTATGACAAAAATCTGATTTTTCTCTATTTAGCAGTAAAATATTTTCATTGGAACCAATAGAAACAAAATGGATTAAAAATGGTTCAAGACAAAAAAGTTCAAAATAAAAAGATGCAAGACAAACTTTGAGTTTGAAAATTCAGTTGTATTAGTACGAATCCCCATAGAATTTCCACTGAGAGGGGAATGTTTGCTGCTCTGGTAACAGCTGAGTCTCAACAATATAGACAAGTGATTCAGATCAGGGCTATCTTGTTCACTGCTTGACTTGTAGAGCTGTGCATAGTTCTAGCACACAGTAAACACATATGTTTATAGAATATTTATTTTGCAAGTGCAAAACTATTTTGTTATGTGTGCCTAGAAACTGCCTAGTTGTGACTTAGTTATTAACATTAATGGATGGATAGATGTGGATCTATAGTGATTGTAGCTGAGAACTCTGAAGGTAGAGTAAGGGTATCAAGTTTAGTTTAAAAACATCCACTAGCTACAAAGAATATCAGAATCAAATGGACAAAATATGGCTAAAGTGATTTTAATGAGAAACTAGAAGAATCTCTTTCTCTGTGTTCTCTGAAGCACACAGTGCTTGGTTGCTACTCTTAACAATCATTTCCTGTTCTAAGGTTTTTAACTTCATAGGCCAACAGACTGAAGAAAGGTAAGAACATGTGTTAGGCAGAATATAGGTCAATAACATTGTGATTTGTTTTCCAAACTCATTCCTTAAATAATGTGCTGAAAAAGTCATGCAACATAATTTATACCAACAAAGAAAAACAAATTAATGTGATGTTTAATAATATTTGTATCTTAATAACATTTAAACTATAGCATGAATTCTACACATGATCCTAAAACTAACATATGAATGTTTCTAGTTCTGAGAACAGCAGGATGACAGATGCTGACACACTACAGAGACTGACACAATCTAACTGTGAGGAAAAATTCACATATATTAAAAATACAGAAAGGATGGTTCACATAAAGGACACAATTATCACCTTGAATCATACTGAGGAAGTGGAGAAGAATAGCTGCAAAATAATTTAGAAAGCAAATGGGGAAATTAATTTGAGATAATTAGAAGCAAGCAACAGAAAATGTCAATGACAAGCAAAGAAAAACAAAAATCATCAGGAAATGAAACCATGGCATTCGGCATTTGTGGGACAACCTGGGAAAGTATTTTGCCTTAAATGGCTGAATAAATTACTCTACAGACCTGGCAATAGTGAAATATTTTCAAGTGTACAACATCTCTCTTTCCTCCTATTCAAATAAGTCCACACTGTTATTTTGCTTTATTGTACAAGTCTTCTGTCCTCAATGAAATTTCAAGGGAAAGAGGAAATAATCTGCATATTCAAATTCTTCATCATCTCCAATGTATGGGAAAGTTCATTTCTGATTATTTCATATTTACTCAACTTCTCAGTTTACTAAATTAAACTCTAGAATATTTGTTTTGTATGTGGAGATTGCAAAGTGATGATAGCTCTATGGCAGCAATTCACCAACCCTGATTTAAAAAAAAAAAAATGGACATGTCTACTGCAAGTATGGCAAGAGTTTCATATTTTATTTCTCAAATCTGATTTTTCTTGTGGGTGTTTTTACAATTTTGGGCCCACATACCATACATCTAATATAAATCATATGAATATTTTAGGAAGTTTAAAGTTAATATTACCATAATAATTCAAAATTTTTCTGAGCTAAGGAAATACAATGTTAATGATTCAAATACCACATGGAATTTGTAGCTTTAAAAACAATTTCACATAAATGACTTTTATTCAAATGACATTGTATGGATTCCTTTCTCAGAATTACAAAAGACAAAATTCTAAATTGATATTTTAACCTATCATATATTTCTTTCCTCTGACTTATCATTTACAAAATGGAGACAATGAATAATATCTATATTTAGTGTTATCTAAAGGTTCAAGTAAGTATTAAATGAGATAATACATGTAAAAGACTTAGTCTAAGGCCAGGTAAATAAAAAGAGCTAGGTAAATTTTAGCTGTTAAAAGTTATTTTAACTAGAAGCTGCAGAAAATACTTTGTAAGTTGCTTCCAGTAACTTATTTAATTCTAAATCATCTCTTGTCTTTGATCACAACAAAAAGTCTCACTGCCAGTCTTAAAGACAAAAATAATATGAAATAGACACTATTTTAACAAATTATTTTTATTCTATTTATATCAATGGCAATCATTCCAAGTTTTGAATTACCTACTGGTAAAGAACCCAATATCTAAAAATGCTCTTATTTATTGATTCACTTATCAAAGCAGGTCACCTGTTAGCCTCCTGCCTTAAATTTCACTGGCCAGGGAGACAGCAATGAGGGACTTCTTTGATGTGGTTTTTACTTAGCATTTCTGGTACACAGATATTTCTATGTTCACTTTCTAAAAGTGAATTTCTTTACTATCTTTTAAAATTAATTTTCAAGTAATAATTTTATATATTTCAATTACATTTCTGCTTCAAGAATGTAAAAGGAAAATTTTACAATGTCAATTGGAAACTTTCAAGCTTACACTTTCTTTTTAAAGGAAAATCACTTGTCAATCAATGTCAAAATCATTCGTCAAGTAAAAGGTCTGTATTACACACACACACACACACACACACACAAAGATGAGACTACCAGAGTGCAAAACAATTAATGTTTGATTGAAATTCCTTTTTTTTTTTTGCAGCACTGGGAATTGAACTCTTGAGTCTCACATATGCAGGCACTCTATCACTGAGCTACATCCCCAGCTCCTTTTGTTTTTATATTTTGAAACAGGATCTGGCTAAGTTGCCCAGGCTAGCCTCCAACTTGTGATTCTCTTGACTCAGTCTCCTGAGTACTTGGGATTACAGGCATGTGCCAAAGTGCCTATCTGAAATTCTTCTATCATTAGATGCAAAGCACAAACACAATCAGATAAATTAACATAAATACTCAGACATTTAATTTTTATTTGAAAGAATACCTAGGGAAAAATTCATTTGGCTAGTAAAATAAAATGAAGAAGAATGATTGTTAAAATTATGTTTATTGAAAAGGAAAATTAAAGATGTAAAAGAACTTTTGCTGCACCAATCATCTAATTAATTGAATGTAATATTTTTCTAACACTGTACTTTAAATAAACAATAAAAACAGATATACAGATTTGCTAAAAATTATTAAATGATTTATAATTGCATGTCACATATACTGAGTATATATTTTATATATGAATATATTCATGTATATGAAAGTTATTGGGGTTAATTTATAATTTTAAATAATAAATGCAATGTTAATTTGATAGGAGAAAGAAAAATGACATTTAGGTTCCTTACCCAGAATGAACAGGACTTGAGACAAGATTTACATTGTCCAAGGTGTCAGCAGCCCAGCTGTAATGTCTAAGAGAATCTGAATCAAATTCCCTTGTGAATGTTAGATGCTGAAAAATAAAACAATATAGTCTATCAGTGTCACATATAACATCCCATAAAGACAGAAAAGTTTTTTGTACACAAAGTATATCTGTATTTCTCTATAAATGTGGATAGACTAACATTCAAAATAAAGAATTTGTGAATTTTCTAATATAGGTAGATATATAGCATGAGTGCAAGAACATTAAAAAGTAAAGTCTACTGATACACTATATTATTTCAATATTTCAAGAGACTACCTGAGTAATATGCATGGTAAAAGGAGTGTCATGGAACTAATAGCAGTGATTTTAAGTACTTTAACGTAGGTTCAGATTAATCCTATACCAACTGTGAAATCTTTTCCCCATTCTCAAAATAAAAATAAAAAATGTCAATCTTGATGACTTCTAATTCCAAGTGGTACAGAGCTGCTAGCAGCCATTCAGTGCTTCCCCAAGTAAACCAGGTAAATATAGAAGTCTGAATGCAGTAGAGGGCAGCCGAGGCACTGAGAACTAAAGGATCTATACTCTTGAGAAGTTGAAACTTCTCAGAAGAACTATACTCATGAAAAGTTGAGCTGAAATTTTGTTATTTTTAAATTGACACTTGTCAGTTACAAGCACAGGAAGAATTTGGGCTTTGTTTCACAGGGACCACTGCTGAGGAGTGGAAAAACCAGGAGAGTTCTTGGTAAAGATATGGGTGGTTTCAAGCACGCTACAGTTTTCCATTAGATATTTGTGGAATTCTGGGGCCACATAGAACAGAAAGCTGAAAAATCTAACCAGAAAAATCCCCATAAAGTATAATGGAACTTTTCAGCAGTTTCATAAGAAAATGATTAAAGAATTTAGAACTTGCTAATGGGAAGTGGACTTGAAGATCATACCAGAATTTCAAACAAGTACTCTGCAGGGACAGGACAAACCAGAAGTAGTAGGAACTTTCCCAGGATTGCAAACCAGCCTCATTTCACCAAAATCTTGATTGGATTAAATGGTCATCTGCTTCTCTGTTGTCCTAGCTGGGGGAGGGTGAACCATCTCTGGAGGAATATATCACCATTGGGTGTGTCCACAATTTTTCAAACACAAATCCAGCATAAAATAAAATTTTCCAAGTATGGCCAGAGCACATGAACAAAAACAAAAACAAAACAAGCCCAGATAGACACTATGAAGACTCAAAGGTCATCTAGATTTTGAGGTAAGCTAACAAGAACTTTATCTCTGACTCCCATGTTTAAGAAAACGGGAGGAATGCGTAGAAGAATGAAACTAGATCCCTGTCTCTCAGCCTGCACAAACATCAACTCAAAATAGATCAAAGAGCTAGGAAGAAGAAAACAGGGTCAACACTCCAACATACAGGTACCAACTTCCTTAATTTGCTCAATTTCATTAATAAACTCCTAAATAAAACTCCTAAAACACAAGAAACAATTAAGTGGGATGGCATCAAATTAAATAGCAAAGGGAATAGGAGCATAAAGACAGAACTTACAAAATGGGAGAAAACCTTGGCTAACTACCTTTCTGACAGAGGATTAATATCCTAAATATGTAAAGAGCTCAAAAAAAAAAAAAAACCCAATCAGTAAATGAGCAAATAAACTAAAAAGACACTTCTCAAAAGAAGAAATACAAATGACTAAAAATTTAGGAAAAAAATTCAACATCTTTAGCAATTGGGGGAATACAAACCAAAAACTACACTGAAATTTCACCTGACTCCAGTTAGAATGGCATCCCTCAAAAATACAAACAACAGTAAATGCTAGGGAAAATGGAACACTTTTATTCTGTTGATGGGATTGTAAATTAGTACAATGGAAATCAGGAAGGCCCTCAAAAGGTAGGAATGGAACCACAGTATGACCCAGCAATACCACTGATCCATATTTATCCCCCCAAATTAAAGTCAGTGTGGTATAGTGATACGTGCATACCCACGTTTACAGCAGCACAGTTCGCACTAGACAAACTATGGAATTAGCCTGTCAGCAGATGAATGGATAAAGAAAACGTAGTACACACAATAGAGTTTTCTTTAGCCATAAAGAAGAAATTATGACATTTTCAGGAAAATGGATGAAACTTGAGCATATTAAGTGAAAAACCTGGACTCAACAAGTAAACAGTGGTATGTTGTTTTTTGTTTCTCATGTGAAAGCTAGAGAGAAAAACAGACGGAAAAGAAGCAAAAAAGGGTGGTAGTAGTGGGAATCTCATGCAAATAGAAGGAAAAATAGTAGAACAGAAGGAGGGAACCAGGGGAAAGCAATAAGGGGAGGAGAAGGATAGGGAATGAAATTGACCAAATTACACTGTTATATTATGTGCATGTGCAAATATGTACCAATGCATTCCACTATCATATATAATTATAATGCATCAATAAAAAGAAAAAACAAGGGGAAAGAGAAAATATATGAAAGACAGAAGATTCAACAGAACACCCAACAGAACACCGAAATACACATAAAAATGAATTGCACATGCATCTGTTCAGTTTCATATAAAATGTCAGTTCTTGACTTAGACACAACAAAAAACAGGGCTAGTACATTGAAACCATAAATGGAAAAAATACACAAAAAGAATAAAAATACAGAAAATAATATGAGACATTGAAACAGTGAAAAGTTTAAAAACAAGTGTGACTGTACTCTCAGAAGCATCTAAGAAGAAAATAAGGCAGAAGCTATACTTGAAAAAAATGAATGCTCCAAATCTGATGAAAGATAATATTCCACAGACCAAAAATAAAGAAGTCTCAGTTTTTATCCTGCTAAAGATTTGCTTCCTTGTTAACACTCTAGTAAAATGACAGTCAAGTATTTTAAAATAAACATTGGGGTGGCCGGGGGGAAGATAAGGAAAATGAGAGAAAAGACTGTAAATCAATGGATGTGTAACTGATGTGATTCTGCAATTTGTATACGGGGTAAAAATGGGAGTTCATAACCCACTTGAATCAAAGTGTGAAATATGATATATCAAGAACTATGTAATGTTTTGAACAACCAACAATAAAAAAAAATTTAAAAAAAAAAAGACATCAGCAGAAAGACAGATTGGTTCAAGTTCTTTTTAAAAAGTGATTTGTCCTGCATGAGCCCCACCATTGATTGATTAACCCCACCCACCACCAGCAACAACCCTTGCAGAAGACTCATGGCATAGAGACCAGAGACAGAAGACTAGAAGTTTAGATGCATTTTACTGACAATGAGGATTAATTGATAGTTTATATATGGAATATTCAGATCTCCCATCCTTCTTTCTTTCCTGGCCTCCCAAAGAGACAAGAACAGAGAGGTTCTAGGAAGAAAAGGGAAATCTTGGAGGATTCTGATCTGCCTACTGGAATCTCTCAGTCAGTGAAAGGTCACAGGCTTTTGACTTCAGTAGACATCATGACTGAAGAGTTGTACACCACACACAGAGCTTTCCGTGAGCCTGTTAGAGAGTAGCCAGCCAAGAACCACTAGACAGCTGGGAAAAGCTAATATGAAAAACAAAATAAGCCAACAAACAAGATAAACAAACTGGAAGAAACGGATGCTTTTCAAGAACACTCAAAATTTTTAAGAAAACTTGAGGGCTGGGGATGTGGCTCAAGCGGTAGCGCGCTGGCCTGGCATGCGTGCGGCCCGGGTTCGATCCTCAGCACCACATACAAAAACAAAGATGTTGTGTCATACAAAGATGTTGTGTCTGCCGATAACTAAAAAAATAAAATAAATAAAAAAAAAACCAGATACATTTATTTAAAAAAAAAAAAAAAAAAAGAAAACTTGAATTTTTTGTAATTATCAAGTGAGAGATGAGATCTTTTTTTATACCTATGAAATAAGAGAATGCTTTAAAAAAAAACTAGAGGGGAAAAAAAGAGCTCTCAGAAAGTAAAATGACAGCATTGAAATTGAAATAAAAACTAGGGGAAATTTTTTTAAAAACAAAAAGAGGAGAGAAAATACAAGTGAAAAATCAAAAGGTCAACAGCCCCTCCACCCACCCCCCCAAAAAAAAAAGTTCTAGAAAGAAAATAGTGAAATAGAAGAGAATTCATCAAGGAAAAAATTCAAGAAACTTTCCCCAAACTAAAGACCTGAGTTCCCAGAGTGAAAGGAGCTACTGAGTAACCAGTGCTACAGATGAATATAGACCTCAGGATGGCACATGAGCATGACATCTCAGAACCTGGAGACAAAAATGATCACAAACGGTAGATTTCCATCAATCTTTTAACAGAAAAAACTGACGGTAAAGACAGTGGAGTTCCATGTTACAGTTCTTTGTAAGAGGAATTCTCCCAAGTAGTCAAACCAAGTATGCAAATAGTAAAATATTTTTAGATGTATAAATTCTTCCAAATTTCTCTCTCTCTAATCGAACTATTGGAAGATGTACTCCAAAATGAAGGACAACATCAGCAACATGGAACCCAGCATCAGAAGAAATAAAGGGAATTTTCATAGTGATGAAGACCCAAAAAGGATGTGTAATGGGCTTTCAAGGGGCTTGTCAAGTGAGACAGCTCTAAGATGAGTTAAGTAGAGATTAATAGAATACCTAGTGGATATGAATATATTGAGAAAAGATTTGCACAACGGGGGAAGGCTTACAGATTGCGCTCCAATTCTAGGGAAAATAAAATAGCATTGGAAATAAAAGCAGTCATGATATATGTCACATATGTGAAGAACATTTACATATGCATAACAACATAAGCACTAAGTACAGATAAAACCAAAATAAAAATGCAACTATTTTGGAAAATGGGAAGATGGAAAGTGTGCACAGTGGTGGAGAAATTGGAAAAAAAAAAAAAGAGCTTCATCTTCTATTTGGAAAGTCAATAACTCCTCAAAAGTTCAACAGGAAGTATTATAACATGATAATTCAGAGACATGGAGGCCCAAAAGATGACTGTCTCTGGAGAAGAAAAAATGGGGACTATAGTTGTATACTGGAATAGTTTTTTCATAACAAGTATGTCCCACAGAATGATGAGA